ACGCGTATGAAAGCGATTGTTGCTGGATTGTCGTAATTTGTTTTTTTTACTCTTTTTTTTTTTGTAAATATTCAATGACAAGGTGGGCTGATTGCTGCATAGCATTTTGTGATACTGAAACCTTTGCCGGTGACTTTTGCCAGAACTCGCTGCTATTCACCAAACACTAAAAATTACGAACAGTGGCTGTGGTTGCTGCAGTTGATTTTTTTCAACCGATTTTATATTTAAAATTTTTGTAAATTTTTCTTTTTTTTTGGGGTTTAAGTAAGTCACAAGTTGTTTATTACATTTAATATTTATCTCATTTAATACAAAAAATGTTTTAAATTAAAAATGACATTTGTAAACACTCAGTTAAAATTATTTAAAATAACTTGTTTAAACAAATGCATTAAACATGCATATATACATACTAGTATGTACGTATCTGCATATGTATTTCAAAGCGCATTAATTAAATTTAAAATCTAAATTGTCCCAATTTCCCTCGCTCATTGTGGTAGACACGTAGCGGCGAGTAATACGAGTTGCCATTTAGCGCTGGTGCTACCCTGTCCGGTGCTGCCGGCTCCATTGCCAGTGCCATTACTGAAATTCTGCGATGCCGAGCCTGAAATCAACTCTTCAATATGCTGTGATTTGGCAGCGCAACGTGGCGCCAAAAGCAAATTGTAAATGATAAAGTAAACGAGCGCAATTGCCAACCATTGATGTATGACCTGTGCCTTCGATTGGGGCACCTTGTCGTCACGCGCCAATCCAATGACGGCACCCAAGCCCTTGCCTGCAAGGAAGAGTAGAAAAATGTAGGTTTAAAATTTGAGATATGAATAAGCAAAGGTTGAATACGTGTAAAGAGTTAGGCGTTTTAGCGGAGTGTATGCGAACAGAGAGCGACAATTTCCACAATGGTTGCCGCAAATCATTTTGTTGATTGAATATTGATGCCTTAAGGACTGGCTACCACCTAAGTACATGGTTAATAAATACAAAGTTTTGATCATAAAATCCACTTTGTTTCACCCAAATATCACCAAATCCCGCCAAATAATCACTAAAATTATTTCTAACTGCATTCATTAGGGATGTCCTTATTCGAATTAATTTTTTTTTCTTGACGGCAAATGTCTTGACGGCGCATACAATGGGATCGAAGGCAATTAAGTGGCTCGTGAATAGCCACGAGAAAGATCCTTAACCGCCTTTTTAGGACCGAAACCATTTTGTGCTCTAATTTGGTCCTCTCCGAGAACTCTCTAATACTCTAAGGACAGTACGTACTGGCGGGTGGTGGGGAGCCATAGACAGGCCAGGCTCTTCGCCTCCGCTTTTAACAGTTCGGCTACTCTCTGGATACCTAACAGGTCACAACCAACTACGATTTCATAAGTACCGAATTGCAGAGTCTGAATGCCCGCTCACCAGAGAGTAGAGGAAACTGCCGAACACATTATTTACCACTGTCCGACCATGGCTGGACAAAGACTAATTAATTTTAAAGCTCCTTGTGAATTTTTCCACCAAGTCCCTTTCAGGATTCATTAAGGAAGTCGAGTGTTTACTGGGTTAGAGACTCTCTTTTCAGATACAAAATACCCCTCAGGTCGCAGTGTCTCTTGTTCTGATATACCCTTGCTGGAGTGACAGTCCTTGGATAGCTAGTCTGGGTTGATCTGATTACGGAAACGTAACTCTCAGGGAAACCTTCTCCGAGTTGTAAAAGATGAGTACAAGGGTGCTTATTATTGAACGATTTACCCTAGTGGAGCCAGTTTCTCACTTTATTTAAAGGCATTCAACTGTGAAATTTAGTTTAATAAGCAGACTTAATCTCTAAAAGACAAGGTAATTTTTAAGCTGCATTAAGAACCAGGCACATCAGTATTGAACAATTTTAGGTAGCTGAGAAATTCTGCTCCACGAATGACTCGTATGCTACTAAAGAGTAGTTTGAAAAGGTTTATTTTCCAATATTTGTGTGCATGTTTATTAGAATTAAGTTATTATAAGTGACTAATCGGAGGTATACCAAGAGCTAACATCAATTTTAAGCTTATCAAAAATGGACAATCCTAATGCGCATGCATGAAAGCATGCAATTGTAGGCCACTCACAAATCATCATTCATGAGAATACAAATCTCATATCAAGAAGAAGCAACAGTGTTGCCCCTTAAACAGTGGTGGCCATGTCGATTCGAACTTTTACAATGATAGCTTCACTTCGATAACTCAAAGCTTAATTTCCACATCAACAAAATTACATTAATATTGGCTCTTTACTAGCAGTCAACGTACAGGCATTGTGCAGGTTGCGGATCCGGGCTTTCGTTATTGAGTAGATGGATAAATGTTGGCCACCACTGGTCTGTCGTTAAAGCTGGCATTAAATTACTGAGTGAGAGGTACAACTGTGCTTCCTGGAGCTCGCATGTATGTAAGTGTTTCACTATTTTGAGAAATAGAGTTGCCAAATAAACTTCCATACAAAGCATAGTAGCCAGCTCGTAAAAAAAAACAAAAAATCTATAGATAGAAATCTATAAAATCTATAGGTATACACTGAAGGATGCTCAAGAAATTTAAAAGAAATTTTCTTCTATCACAATTTGTTAAATCAGTTTTTTGTTCGCAAGAAAGATGCTGGTACACATGTATGCATCTATTTCTTCGAGAAAATTCACAAATACGGTAAATTACTAAACTTTCTGAAACGACAGAATGAAAAATGTTTCGCGAGATTTTTCTTGAGAACTGAATATTAAGCTTACAAGGGGAAAATGTTTTTAGGTAAAACATAATGTTGGTTAAATATTACAGACGCCCGCTGTAGCTGAGTGGTTAGAGGTGCTTACTACCACTTCGTAGAACCCGGTTTTGATCACTAACCCGTGCGACATCTTAATTAGAACAGTTGTGCCTTCGAAATATTTTGTGGAATTTACACTACGTACTTACTCCACTGGGAATAAAAAAATTAAAAGTAAATAAAATGATATAGTTAAAGAAATTTTCTAGAAAGTATTTAAATATTTTCAGTTTTCAGAGTGATTTTTTCTCAAAAATTATAAAATACTAATTTATGGTCAGCCAAAGTTAAAAAGCTTAGCAAAGAGAATTCCCCAAAAAAAAAAAACGCTTACAATTTTTCTTCCAATACACGAAGAATAACTTTTCGGGAAACCACCAGTTTCACTTCCTTACGCTTCCATCCAAACCATCTGGCAACACTGCCTGCATTTACGCTCCTTACCAAAACACTAATCCAACCACTTAGTTACTTACCAATGCCGAAGAAGGCCAACACAGCCACTGCCTGTCCGGTCGCTGTCAACTTCCTGGGCATCGCATGTCGCATATACAGTATAATCGTAATCCACACAACTCCGATGACGACCGGCTCGATAGCCTCCATGACAACGGTCAACCATTGGGTACCATCGCTGCTCAGCGCAGTGAAGCGTATGATGAAAACCGCAAAGCCGCCGATAAAGATATTCGAATGTCCACAATATTCGATGAATTTGTCGACATTGAAGAACAGCACCAACACCAAAATCAACCCAGAATAGGTGACCGCATACGTATCGCTGAATGTCCAAATGAGAAAACTGTGAATGCAGCTCCAGAATGTGCCGAATAGTATGGCGACAAGTGTAAGCACGAATATTTCAGGGCTATAGCGACGTATTGCCGACATGGGATAGACGAGCATGCCGGTCTTTGTGTGCCACCCCACCACTCCGGCGGGCTAAGCGGCATTTGTGAGGCAAACAGCAGCACTAATGCACCGATGAGCAGACACACAATGACAAGTATTAGTGCCACCAGTGCGGCGTCGTATTTCGAGTCACTCGAAAAGGCAAACAAATCGATGGGCGAGAAGAGCGGCACATAACCGATCGCACCCCAGACATACTGACGGCATACCTCACCGCGCCCTCCGATGTCTCGCGCACTGCAATGACGATGGCGGTGTTGAGCAGCGTCAATGCGGCCATCACGAAAATGTCGCCCAGCAGGCGGATGGCAGTGTAGCCGCCCAATGTGCCATCCAAGTCGCCAGTAATCTATGGATATGTGCGGGAATTCGTATGAAAGATAGTGAGAGAGGGAGAGAGAGAGATGGAAGAGAGAGAGTTGGAGGTATGATTAAATATGTGACATGTTGCAGATACAATTAAATGGGGTGTAAGCACAATGGCGCAGGCCGGTGCAAATTGCTTACTTTAATGCATTCACTATCGGCCAGCACACTGCCTTTGCTGTCGTAAGGATCAATCACTTGACATTCAATCATCGGTTTGCAAGTGCTGCCATTCTTCAGCCCAATCATGTACTCAACCTGAGCGGTGGGTATGTTACACTGGAAGCCATCTGAAATAAGATAAACATTGAAGGTGAATGAAGTGGCAGTGTTGGTGGCTTAGTTAATGTACGAATATTGCCAAAATTTTGCAGCGGCTGTACGAAGGTGTATGAGTTTGTACTTGTGTGTGTGTGTGTTTGCCTGTTGGTGTTCATACTTGCAAATTGCTTGCCATTATACACCTTCGTAAATAGATATGCCGGACCAGGGATGGGCGTTTTTGAATGAATTATAATTCAAATAAAAAATAAATTTTTATTCATCATTAACAATGATACGAAAATTATTATCAAGATTGCGAATGAGATAATTCTAATTCAATAACGAATAAATTTTTATTCTTCATTTCAAGCACTTGCGAATGATGAATAAATTTTTATTCATCATTTAACTAATTCAAATCGAGAATTTCATCATTCAAGATTCGATAGAATAATTTAATATCTAAAATAACGAATTTTTTTCATCATTCAAGTAATTTCGAGTGCTTGAATGAAGAATAAAAATTTATTCGTTACTTGAAATTACGTATGAAATGTCATTGTTGAAGAGAAGAAAGCTTATTCATTATTTTTTTTTATTCAATTATTCATTTTCCTGATTACGCCTATCCCTGATTCAGCACCAACTACAGCCACCGAAACTGTTACCTGTATAAAACATATATGTATGATGTATTAAAACAACATGTAATTAGAACACAAACATTCAACGAAAGTGTTCGCTATGGATGATGTCAGTACTATGTACAATTTTTATGCACACTGTTGCATTACCAACAATATTTGCATGTGTGTGTATGAGTGTGTAACTAAACATGGGTGCAATATAAGGCAAATGTGGTAAAGTGTAAACGACATAGGATGAGTAACCGCTACATAGAAACTGATATGTATGTTAGCACATACTTGCATACATACATAAATATGTATGTATGTATAAGTAAGCTCATAGAAGCCTAGTACGTATGTATGTACATAGGTACTATACATATGTATATACAGCCATGTCAGCAGCCATCGGAGACTGCTAGTCAACTTATTAGTAAGTAATGTTGGCACTAGGACTACAATCTGCCTCTGCTTGTTTACTGAATGGTGCAAATTCATATTAATTTCAGTAACAGAAAACAGTTTGCTTTCTAAGCGATAGGTACATAAGTAGTTAAACTTATATATGTTTGCCCACCTGGTGTACTTGTAACCTAAATGCGTGTGCCTGTGTGTGTGGAATTTCGAGGCTCGCTGTTGCTTACTTGTCTTAGCAACATTCGCTGACCACTGCTGATGCTGCTCAACCATATACCGTATAAATACCTATGTATACTATAGTAGAGCAACATGGTCACATGGCGACAGATATGCTCGTGTCAGTCATTAGTTGAATGCTGTGAGTAGCCATTGCAGTGGCAGACGTGTTCGCTGTTTGTGTGCGCCACTAAATAAGGCTTGTTTTAATGAACGCGATGATTATTCAGCCATGCGAAGTACGAAAGCAAACAGGCGCACCCGGGTTACAAGTGCAAACACACACACACACGCATATGCGGCTAGGCTGCACTGAATCATTTAGGTGTAAATTTGCAGCAGACTTACACAAGTATATTGGGTCATATGAAAAGGATCAGCGAATTTTCGTCACTATCTTGTGTTGAAGCTAATACATCTGGTGGCACTAATCCATCAGATTAAAGTGCGTTTAAAACGTCTTTTCATGAATAGTTTCGAACCAAAATCGTCCTAAAACTAATCCTGAAATATTCCTTGAATTGTCCCCAAATGATACCGAACTAGTGCCGAAAAGTAGCTGAAGTAGTCTCAAAATTGTCCGAAACTAGGCCTAAAATTGTCTTCAAAATAGCCTTGAACAGATTCCGAATTTGTACTGAAGAAGTACTACAACGATGCAACTATGAAGCTACCTGAAAAATTACAAAAAGTTCATACATAATAATACTGGCCCAAAATGGCATTGGTTTTAATAAAGAATTTGTTTTCTTCAAAATTTACCCAAAAATTTGCCCCAAAGATTATGACCCAATATAAGGACATGGATGGTTATGTGTTGGACTGACTGCGGCTGGCTTGGCTTAGGCTTTGCTCCTTTTACCATCGCACTATCCAAGCTGCCATTGCCATGCTGCCACCGCCACCATACCCACTATTGAGTTTGACGTAAGCTTGAGCTTGTGTGTGTGTGAGTGCACCTAAATGCCTAATGCATAGGCCAGCTCACTCCACTTGGTTGTGGATTTGCTTGTTTATATTTGTCAGTTGCTCATCTGCCTAACAGCCATATCGCATACATATATACACGTATGCAAACTTAGACATTAGACGGTCGGCAAGCCACAGCAGGCAGTTGAGCAGGCACGGGTAAACACTGTGCCGCTGTAGGCCGGCTGTAGGCATCAATGAACAGAGAGTTTCGTATTTGGGTCTCCCCATGGCGACTGATTAAATGCCAAATGCTTTGTACCTTTGTGTCTGCGCATGTGTGCATGTGTGTGATTGTGCTTATTAAGCTCGCCATTTGAACGCACAAATAATGTTAATGCATTCATTGCTACAAAGTATGTGCACAGTATATAGATTGATTTTGCATTGCTTGTTGTTGCTGTCTTATCAGCGTGATAGCGAAGGTCTCCAAATGGCAATCATATATGTAAGTGTACTGTATGTATGTATCTCTGACTTCACCTGTTCATGTTCGACTGCCAGTCATAGTTTAAATGCAGAGATACTGTTGCAGCGTTAATATTACAATATAACCGCTTCAACTGCTACATTAATGAGATTTGACTGTAGAAGTGTACCAATGTATGTATGTAATTGTCCTCACTTGTCTTCGAATGGAAGTAGTCCCCGTTTGTTTATCAAAATCGTTCAAGTATTGGTTTGAATGTCTGCGAAGTCAACTGTGTGATTAGAATTACTTTACGAAAGCTTAAATTCACTTCAGCCTATAGTGAAGGAGTAACACGACTGTGCTAAATATAATCTTGATGCTTGAAGAACTGATACATAGTTTTTCAGAATTAAATTTACAATGCGTTTGTATATTTCCAATGCGCTTTTCACAACATTAAGAAGATCATTAGTAAATATACTTCCATCTAAGGGATTTTCAGTGTATTCTCAGTATACGTGTTTTTAGTCGAAATTGGTGGCACACTTAACTTAGGAATTGCAGTATCTTCCGTTTTGTATACTGAACAAGATTTCATCGCGAAATTGTATTTAAATGAGATATTAAAAAAGATATACTAAAAAAAGTGAAAATAACCACTGTAACGTATTCGGCCCGTAGCACCATACACAGTAACCTAACACGTTTACTCGCACGCCTTAACTTAAAAATAAAATTTTTTAAGAGTAATTAAAAATTGGCGTGGAAGATTTTTACACAGCTTTCCTTACCTTCTTCTTGTAAATAACAACTTTATAATGAATTTCAAGTGTGCCAATAAAAATTGTGAAAATGGAATTTTAGTTTCTCAAGCCATAGTTATCTTCTACAAAATTTTTTTTTTCATTCGGTGGCACACTAGTTCTATTACAATGGATTCATTCATTTTGGCAAGAAGAACATTTTCGCCATTTAATTGTAATATTTTAAATTATCTTAAACTATTAAATTTTATAAAAAACCTTATATTTCCAAAAATTCCAAAACAGCTGTGACAGATAATCTGTATGCTGTCTTTTTTTAATTCTGTGGCACACTCTTGAAACTTCACATTTATGTTGTATTTGATGCCAAAGTCCTTTGCCTTTAATTTGAACATGCTATTTGAAAACTTCCCAAAGTTAAAAAAAAAAAACTATTCTGATTTTTTCGTATGACAATGGAGAAATGAGTAATGTCGGTACTTTTTTTGGGCTAAATAAATGTTTTAAGGCCGACATTTTTCAAATAAGTGATTTATTTTTTATTGTACTTGTTTCTGAAACTCCATTGATTGAAATATACTTAAGCGAGAAGACTGGTTTAGCATTCTTTCTTGCGAGAGAAGTAGTGACGCTAAAAAACTACCTTTGAGATTTGCTCATATGTATTTAATATCTCGTGTTATACTAGTTGTTTTAAACTTGTTAGTCTTTTGATAATTTTAATTTCCAGCGCCATTTAGGTATTGAATACAAACTTTACTTGACAAACGTAGTATCAAAGTTTAGTGGTACAAAAATAAATAAAATAAAAAATATGTACAAAATTAGCCCTTAATCACATTTTCAGTTTAAAGTTGTTGCTGGCGTTTAAGATGAATTTCGAGGACGCCATAAGATACGCTGTTCAGTCTGTTGACGGTTTCAAATCGCCCGGTCCGGATGTTGTCCTACCTATTAGACTTAGAGAAGCAGTTGAGATTTTACTGGCGACCTTGAAAAAGAGTTTTAACAGCGAAGCTTGCACTTGCCTGCATACAACAAGCTTGAAGGCTGGTTGATGTGGCCTTTATATATA